CGAGGCCTTGTATGAACCGGGGTGGTGACGGAGCTTCGGGCCTAGACTCCGGAACGTCCCAGTCCTCTCAGGCTAGGAAATTCAAAGTTCCCCGACAGATGCGGCGCAAGCGGACAAGTTCTGCCGGAAGGCTCGGCAGGAGGGTCGGCATCCTTGCTCACAGCAACTTTGCTGCAAGTTTCCTGCAGGCCTGGAAGAGGTGTCCGCCCCGCATCTGGATCAGTGGCTTGGCTTCTTCAGTCTCGTTCACTGCAAAAAGGTTGGTCAGCTGGCCTCTTGCTTTCACCCTGAAGGTGGGTTCTCGCATGCACCAGCTGGAAAGTTCCTCGAACGCACTGGGATTGTGGGCAGTGGAAGTCGCATCCGTGGGTTTGAAGTTGGTATACAGGTCGACTGTTGAATGCGCACCAGCAATCCGGTTCAGAGGCACCCGCCAGAAGCTGAGCTCCCCCAATTTTCGTCATGTCGATGCCTCGGTGGGCCATGTGTCGTTCTCCAGGCTCAGGAGGCACCTCGCCAAGTTCGGTCCGGCCCTTGAAGCCTCCTGCAAAGCCTTGCGAGTCTTGGTGCCACTCAGCACTCAGCCTAGGCCCGCCTCTTCTGGGGGTCGCTGCCAGCCCCAGGGAGATCGGCCCTCAGAGCATCTCAGCAACTGTCTCTCGACAATCTCCTTGCGACTTCAGGCAGCACGAGTGTCTCAAAAGCTGGTGCAAGAGGCCGGACCGACAATCGAAGCCAATCCATGCCCGTCTTGGACGGTCCTCCGGTCAGGCGATGGAGATGTGTCGACAATCAAAGGCTGCCGGGAGCAACAGCGCCGCCTCTTGGACAACACGAGAGACCAAAGCTGACTGAGGACGAGCAGAGACGAGCAGCATAGCCGGCATAGCCTTGCTGTTTGCTCCGGAGATGCATTTGTGCTTGCAAGAAGCAAGGCCACCGTGTGCAGCACAGCAGATGGCACGGAGGCAGCGAGGGAACGAGCGGGTCTTCACACTTCGCACGGCTGCCTTTTCTGGCGCACCCAGACCGGGGAGCTCCCGGCATCGCCGGCATTGTCGCCACCTCCAGAGCGGCTCGAAAGGCGGAGCTTCTGAGCTTTTCCATGCTTCTTCAGCGTTTCAGTGTGGCCGACTTACCGACCAGGCCACAAGCCCCAACGCCTGAGCAAACGAATCATTGGTTGCAGGCGGCGTGCTTGGCATTTCCCAATCAGTGATTCGCCGGTGTTCTGTCCCATGGACTGCTCCCGTGCTCGTCCCTTGCCCCGCAGCGCTCAGGGTATGGAGTGCAGTGCCGAGCCAGAAGCGAGCATGGAGCAGCCAAGCGCGTCTACGCAGGCTCCTGCATTCTCGGTACGTTCTCGCATCTGAGCGGTCCCAGCGTTTTCCTGCCAGTACCGCGTCGTCTCTCCAGCTCGTGGTTCTGACGAGGATGGCTCAGCTCAGTGCATGTTCCTTGCTCAGTTCGCAGAGCGCCCAACAGCACAAGTTCCATGCCAGCTTGGAATCAAGTCTTGTCCACGCGTGTTCAGTGCTCAGGCGTCCCAGAAGCCCAACTCCAACGAAAATGTTGGCTTGGGGTGAGGAGCAGGCACTCCTTGTGTGTGGCTTGACGACACGGCCCGAGTTCATGTGTCATGGCCAGGACAGTACCCCAAGTGGAGGACCCTCCTCGCGGCCGCTGTGCGCCGGGTACAAAAGAAAGGTAGCAGACTGGAAGCACTGCTTGCGATGTCGTGAAGCACTGCATCGAGCAAGCAGAGGGCCACAGGCCCCAAGACGACGCTGCACAGGTACGGCTCGCCAGCCAGCGACGAAGACGATCCTTTCGGACGAGGAAGGGTCACCCGCATCGGCATGGGCTCTGCCATGGCGCTGCGAAGTGAGCATTCGCAATACGGCAGGGGACCATTCCGACGGCCTGATCAACAGGCTGATCGAGGTTCTCGGCCTCGGGCCACTCTTCGCGAGAGTTCTCGGCCTCAGCTTCTGAGCTGCCGAGGCCTGTCAGATGGACGACGTTCGTCGAGCCTTTGGCATCTACGAACGGTGTTTCGGCAGCATTTCGGGGTTTGTGTGTTTGCTGGCCAAATGAGATTAAATCGAAGCTCCTCGGAAGGCTGCGGAGAATGGAAGTCCCGCTCTACGAGGGGGCCGCGGGACCTGGAAGGGTTCAAGAGTTGAGACAAGGGGAGGCCCACAAGCCCTTAAGATGCTACTAAAGGCACAGCTTTTCGGATTCTGGGACTATTCTAAGGTATACAAGCTTATCATCGAGCCTTGGCCTCGGCAGAGTCTTCGGGGCAAGTGACATGGTCTTCCGCTCTGGGTGCCAAGGTGCTGCACCCGCACTCACCAGCTCGGCCATGGCATCCAGCCCGGCTCTCAGAAGCTGATGACTTCGCGCACATGCGCGCACGTGGGTCCGGCTAGTGGCTAGCTCTGCCGGACACCGGCCTCACAGGTTCTACGAGACGCTTAAAAGTGCGGCCCTTGTCAGTTTCCACGCCGACGCAGCATGGACCCCTTCCACCATTCGGCTTTGCATCAGAGGCTCTGGGCAGCGCGTCTCGTCACGACTGCTGATCGTTCTGATCGAGGCCACTGCGGCTGCCCAGTTGGGTCGCCAGGGAGCTTCGTTGTGGCTGTGCTAGGCGTGTGCAAGGGAGCAGCACAGTGACAAGGCAGGCCCGTCAAATCATCCTGGAGACAGAAGAAGCTAATTGGCAAGTTGAAATTGCTTGACCCAGATTCTCGTCATCAAGGCTCTTCTCTTGTTTCTTTCTCCCAGGTGTATGCGCTCTGGCAGGCGACGGAAACCCATGATGCGCTAGTTACTAGCCTTTTAATGTGTTGGGTGTGCGTCGAGGACTCTTGCCCAAGAGGCGAGGAGATTGATGCGAGCCAGCGCGAAGTGCTGCTGGTGACCCTATCATCCTTGCTGTCACCTCAGCTGAAACTGGGAAGGCCCAATCTGATTGTTTGTATGCGATTGCATCGTCGCCAACATCCTTAGGGTCCGCACAATGAGCCCTGACCTAGCCCTGGAGATCTTGCGGGACACCCTGCAGAGGCTGCAGCTGGCTGCCCATGAGCCCGCATGCAGCGCCCTGCGCTTGTGAAAGGTATCGAACGGCCGTGGCCTGGCTGGTGGAGTCACAGACGCAGGCAGAGAGGGCTCATCGAGTCGACTCGACACCGGGAGATTTCGAAGCAGAAGGTCAAGGATCTGCTCCAGCTCGTGGTGAGCGCTGCCAGCCAGGGGCCAAAAGCCAAAATTCAAAAGCCGAAGCCTCCGTGGGCCGAGCGGCCGGGCGTGAAAGCGCCCTTCTCCCCCGCGTCAGGCGAGGCGCAGCTCGACCGAGCCGGGCAGTTGGGTCGGAGCCCGGGGGAGAGCTTAGGAGCGCCCCGGGGCGCCTCCCAGCCACTGCGAAAGCTGTGAGCCGCGCTGCTCTCGAGGCCACGGTCTCCTGGCCAGCTACAGGGGCCTCGAGGAGTGCGGAAGCGGACGGTAAGGATGACCTTGTGGTCATCGTCTCTGCTGCAGGACCTGCTTCAGTGGCTTTTAGAAGAAGCAGACCGGCAGATGCTGGCTTTTCCATGCAAGAACCCAGCTCTTGGCCGTGGTCTCGTCTAAAATTTCGTTTCGCTTTGTCAAGTTGAATCTGTGGGGAGTGGCCTGAAGGCTCGGACAGCCCCACCAGCATCGCCACACGACCGCCAAGCGGCCGAGCGGGCACCGGCAGAGGGCTCAGGGGGCTGCATGCGACAGCTCCGGCTTGTCGAGGTTAGGGCACAGAATCATGGCTTCTCTGCGAAGGGGAGCAGATAGATCCCAGCGAATTTCCTTTTCTCAAGTCTCGCGCCGTTGCAGGCTTTGCCGTGGAGGATGAGATGCTGTTAATGGAGGCACACCCTAAGATTTGCTGCGCTGTCAAGTAAACTGGTGTTCGCACCCACAGGCAATCAATCAATCAATCAATCAATCAATCAATCATGCAGCACTGTAGCCCTGCCAAAGTCATGTGTCCAATGCATACGACGTTTGAACAAATCTGTCGGTACTTTGGATCAGTATGGGAGTGACGCTTTCGAGAGGACGTCGATCTCGATCTGGAGTCTGGCACTCATTGCACTGCGGGCTGTGGGCGGGGCCATTGATGAAGAGTTGTCCGGTTGATGTTGACATGCGTGGGGCAACGTCCTTATATTGGTAGCATCTACTTGCATTTTCCAGAAGCTGGGTCGCTCGTTGGCTTCCAGCATAACCTGTCTCACAATGGCGCCAGGTTGGCTGCAATGTGAGGCCGCATTCTCCAGATTTAAAAATGAGCTCAGAATTTGTGAGCTCGTTGATGGCAGTGCGCCGAGATAATGTCTTCAGGTCGATCCACCCGTCAAGACTTTGCGATGCGGGAGGGACGGAGAGACACGGAGGGTCTGGTGGAACGTGCCTGTTGAAGTGCGTAGTAGCGGTGCAGCTTGAAGACAAGAGCTCGCACCTTTTCGCTTGCCGAACCCGAGAAAAACACACGACACTAGTAAGAAGTGCAAGATGCCACCTCGAGTACAGCGGTGCTTGCAAAAGGGTTGCAAGAGACTGGCTAGCAAGGTTTGTGTACGACGATGTGCTGATTCCTGTTTTTGTCACGCCGGAAATTGGCTCGGAAAAGCTGGAAGTTGTCATCAAGCAAGCAAGCAAGCAACCATGTACTCTCCGAAGGAGGCCTCCTTGTGCTCCAGTGCCTAGCGCACACAGCATGGCAAACTGACTCCATGAATTTCACGAACCATGCATCACTGAGCATGGGCTCATCACACATTTTGCACAGGAGAGGGGTCCTTCTCGCATTTCCGATCACCCTGCTCTCTGGGCTACCTCCCGCCGGTGCTGTGCCAGAGGGGATGACGGTGACAGGCGGAGAGGCGCGGTGCTTGTGCTGGTAAGCTTCCTGTTTTGCTGTCACCTGTCTTTCACTGCAGGCGCAAGCCTTTTGAATGGTTAATGCTTCGAGGGCTCGCACATGGCCGAGCCACGATGCGAGCCCTTTGACGATCTCCTCAAGGAGCCCAGTTGGAGTAATCGTGGCTAAAGAGGTAAGCATGCTTCAGTTGTCACTCGCTGAGCACAGGAGTTTGTCATGCACTCCGTTTTCTAGTTGGGCGCTCCGCTGCTTCCTATGGCTCTGCCTGTGTTGTGCCTCGTCACTTTTCCAGTCGAAGTGTGATATTGAGCACAGGGCATGCGATGTGCACGTAATGCGTTCGGTCTGGCAGGTACAGTGCGCTCTGAGAGCAACTCTGTGGGCTCGGGCCGGGGCCTTCTCCAGCGGCAGAAGTTCCTGGCGGGACAGCGACTTGGCTGGAGATGGCAGGGGGATCTGCGGGTGGTCTGGCCAGCTGAGGTTTCACCATTTGGGAGCCCCAACTCTCGCGGGGCTGGACAATGCCATTTATCGATCTGGACGCTTGCGCTGCCTGGCCAAGCTAGCTGTGTCACCTGGTGTGTCCCATGCTGGCCGAAGCTGCACATGGCATTGCATGCCCTCACATGATCGCACATGAGCAGTGTTCTGTCTTTGCAGGCTTCCGACCCCTTAGTTCAACCTGTGGCGAGCCCGGGTCTAGCGTCATGGACGCGGCGGTTCAGCCCCCCTGCGTGGGCAACATCTGCAATGGTCCTGCCAGTCGGGTTGGGGATCTGGCTGTTTGGGAGGATGTCCGCGTTGTGAGAGTCGGGGTCTACCAGCTGTGCTGGTGCAGACCCAGCCTAAGCTGTCAGCAGCTGAACACGTGCTGCCGGGAAGATGCCGACTTTGGTGAGGCAGCCGGGGAGGTGGAAGTGGTCGGTCCCGGCTGGATACTGGTCTCGCCTGTCCTGGGCCAGGGATTCCGCTTCGAGCTCGTGTATCCCGAAGCTTTGCCCGGTTCCCAGGTGCTGCTTCGGCTCAGACAAGAGGGACCCTGTGGTCTGCCGCGAAACGCCGCAGAAGAGCGAGCCTCGCTTCTGCGTGGCGACGGGAACGTGGAAGATGAAGAGCTCCCACTCGCAACTCCTGCAGATCAGGCTGCCAGCCTCAACTTCACAGGAGACTTCTCGGACCGATACGTTGCATACCTGTACAGGCATTTGACTTACACCGTATGCTGGTGTGCCCAGTATTGTTTCAAGCACGAAGATGGCAGCATCAATGAAGAGGCCTTTGGGGCCGAGGTAGGCTTGTTTTATCCAAGAGGCCCCGACACGGAGAATATGGCTCCGCAGTATGCAGTGGCTGGGGTGTCATTTGCATTGTATGTGCAGGGCGATCGTTTGTCTGTGAAGGACCGGGTTCTTGTTCCTGAAAGCAGCACCTTGTGTGGCGATCCCGATACGGGACACGCCCTGGCATTCCGCTCCTACATTTGCGGGCGCGGCCAGAGCTCCTGCATTGCAACACCTGCGAACGGACCTCCCACGTCCTTCGAGGACATGGCAGACATGGTAGGGGAAGCGGGGCTTAGCTTCCAGCGCGGGGGCTGGGAACCGGTGCAGATCGACAGCCCTGGCACCTACCGCATCTGCTGGTGCGTAGACGACACCTGGGACCCGGTAAAGCTCGAGAGCCATGGCTACTGCGGCTCGGGCTTCCAGTATGGGGTCGAAGCTGGTTTGGTCATTGTCCAAGGAGCTGTGGGAGATCAGGACTTCCCGTGCAGCGCCTTCCAGCCCTGCCAGTTCGAGGTGCACTCTGAGCTGCCATTTGACGCTGAAGACCAGATTCTGAGGCTTGCCACATAAGTCAGTTCTGGTCACTATGAGGGTGGCTACCGTTGCTGTAACCATGACAAAGAGCCGAGAAACTAAACTTGAAGAAGATGCATCCGCGTTTGATGGTGGATGCGCCCAGGATCGTCGCTCCACCTCCCACTGCGACCAATTCACTGGCGACAATCTGCGGCCGTGGGACATCAGGGCTGCAGGAGTGGCCGCTTCGGCTCTTGCTTTGAGACCGAGTTTGTCAAAATTCTTGCCTGTCAGGTTCGCATCACGGGTTCCTTTGCGGTGTATCCCAGCACCACGACCGTGCTCAGCGACGACGAGGAGAACACGACCACGCCGGCACCTCTCCAACCGATGTACTATGTTGGCAACTTTCAGCTCGACTCTGCCGGGCAAGCTGGCCTCTACAGGGTCTGCTATTGTAGCTAGGCTTTGAACATGAGGACGCGAAGCTTGGAGAGCCAATTCATGACTCCGTTCTCTCGCCAGAGACAGAGACCCGCACAGGCAAGCACTCGGAGATGGGCCCCTGCGATGATGCCGTTGCCTTTGCGCAGTATGCCGGCACCCTGAACTTCGGAGCAATTAGGGAAGAGCACAGTGCAAAGAGGTGCCAGTGTAGTCCTCTTCCAATGAGGTGCCACCCGCATCTCTCTCTGTCTCTCTGTCTGTCTGCCTGCCTGCCTGGCTGGCTGTCTCTGTCTCTGTCTCTGTCTCTGTCTCTGTCTCTGTCTCTGTCTCTGTCTCTGTCTCTGTCTCTGTCTCTGCCTCTGCCTCTGTCTCTGTCTCTGTCTCTGTCTCTGTCTCTGTCTCTGTCTCTGTCTCTCTCTCTGTCTGTCTCTCTGTCTGTCTCTCTGTCTGTCTCTCTGTCTGTCTCTCTGTCTGTCTCTCTGTCTGTCTCTCTGTCTGTCTCTCTGTCTGTCTCTCGGTCTGTCTCTCTGTCTGTCTCTCTGTCTGTCTCTCTGTCTGTCTCTCTGTCTGTCTCTCTGTCTGTCTGTCTGTCTGTCTGTCTGTCTGTCTGTCTGTCTGTCTGTCTGTCTGTCTCTCTGTCTCTCTCTCTCTCTCTGTCTCTCTCCCTCTCTCCTTGCAAGGAACATTACCGGGGAGATCCGCCGCGATGACTCCACGCAGTTGCATCAACGCTGTTTGTCCAACAGCCCTTGCAAATTCAATGTGACGGGAGCCTCTCGACAACAGCTTAGTGCACTAGGTGAAACTGGAGTGACAGTCATGCTCCGTTGCCACTTCGAACGAAGGTCTGGGCTATGCAGCTTAGCTTCTACGACTCTTTCAAAGCCGTACCTCTCGATAGAGAATGCGGGGAGGCCGCCCAACTGCAAGCACCATCCGGCTTTTTTCGGCCCGGGAAATGCAGTGACGGAGGTGGTGGATTCCTCCAGTCACCCAGAGTTCAGCTTGCTGCGCAGGACAGATCAGCATACAGACGGCAGGGACATAGGGGCGGGGCATTAAACGATTTCAGCGCGGCAGCCGTCTTCAACCCAGTGTCGCGTGGGGAAGGATGGAGCTTCTTGACTCGTGGGCCAGCGAGTTTGCACATAGGGCTAGCGCCTTAGAGAAGCAAAGTCCTTGTCGGGTCTTCGGTGTGAATTGCTGCCGACGTCTGCAAGGCTGTGCCGAAGCATTCTGCACACCAAGCATTGTATGTTAAGAAGTCATGGCTTTCCCCAGGCTGGTGCAGAGACGCTCTTTGGTGCCGGTGATTATCGACTTTGCTATTGCTACTCGCCAGACGGAGGGAATCTGTGAAAGGGGACACTTGCGACTGGCAGAATTGAGGCCAGGCTTCCATGACGAGTGACGGAAGGTGTGATGCTTCCGAATCTTGGCTCAAGTTCTGTTCCTTGTTTCTCTCGTGTCCTCTGCGGGGAGCTGTTCAGTCAGGTGGAGCACACTCACGAGATCGGCAGTCTGTACATGGTTGGGGCACTGCTGCTCACCTGGTGGCTTCTTCTCTCAGGAAGTGAGGTCGAGGTGTCGAGTGGCCGAGGTCAACCATGGAATGGTCGTGTCGACAGGGCGCAGACTGTGGGATCTTGGCGGGAGTCCAGAGTCTCTCCTTTTTCTGCTGCCGGCGATCCTGCGACGTTGGAGGTCCATGGCTGGCGGGTCGCCAGGGGCGATGCGATTCGGCTGGTACCGCTTTCCTTCTCCTGCGGAGATCCGGATCCGTTTGATGCATATCTGGGAGCAGGCGAGGAGTTTCCGAAAGCCTTTTCCAGCACTCCTCGCGCCGGGGACAGTCATGTTTGGAGGCTTTGATTACAATCCAGCGGTTGCGAATCGGACGGACAACCTCACCAGGGGGGTGCGCTCCCCCCTTTTCACCTCCGGCATGCAGTAGGGAGTTGCAGTTGCCTCCCACATCACATGTCACGGGCCGAAGCCGCAGGTACTCCTCCACTTCGATCTCGGCAAAGCACGGGGCTCCGGAACGTGGAGAGTGTGTCTCTGCCAGAGCCTCAGAAAAGTTAAAAGCCCTGCTGCCTCCGGCTGACCTGTGCAAGGTGTGGCAGCCGTGGCGAAGAGCGGATCTGGGTGCACCTATGCAGGCGACTATGCCCAACCGGCGGCATTCCCAGAGCTGAACGAGGGCTGATTTGCGGCATGGCAGTTCACAGCCATGCATTGCTTGCCGCCTGCAGGTCGGAGAGCTGATTATTGAAGGCCTTCTGCGATCAGTTTCTGCAGCGCAGCTGGGCTGCAAGAAGTCAGTAAGTTGGGTATCTTGATTGTGAGACACGTGTCGCAAGCTGCCTGCTGAGAGTTTGACTTCTGAAATCTTAGGGTTCTGAGTACACACCCCGTCCACACCTCTACCACAGGAGCATTTACTTAGGCGCAGAGTTCGCAGACTCGCCAACACCAACACCGAGCACCAAACAAATAAATAAACCCCAAACACGAGACAAAGTCTTTTCCCAGAGAATCCGGGAGGTCGATGCAGGCATTAAGCAGCGTGGTGACAGGTGCCGAGTGAGTTTGGGATTCCCTGAGGCAGCGAAGCAGTCTTTTCTTCGCAAAGACACAGTTGTTTTCCGAGCCCAAAGCAGTCTATCGCGAATGTCTTTTGGGTATGTGCAAACTGGTCGAATCAGGGCAGTCTCAAAGCCTTCGCAGAGCTCAGGTCGTCGCAGCCTGCGACGGTGGCAATCGCGTCAATACTGGCGGGGCTCCAAAACTGAGGGTCCGGGTCGGAGCACAGCGGAGACAGAAGTCTCGTAGGTTGAGGTCATCGAGCCGGGTGGTCCTCAGAGTGCCATTCTCCCAGCTGCCAGCTGCCGACATGAAAGCCAAGAAGTCCGGACACGCATCATGTTCAGGGCTTCAGCATCAGGTGGCGTGCGCAGCTTCAAACCAGACGCTCGACCAGGTCTTGTACTCTCTCCTCGCTCCTCCTTTCAAGACTTTTGCTTAGTAGCTTCGTCCGCAGGCTCCATCGAGCTTCGCGATTCTGAATTGCAAGAACAGCATACCGGGCTGCCTGGGCCTCGCAATTCTTCCCTGGCAGGCAGACGAGGCGGGTCTTCCCCCGCCCCACGGATTTTTTTTGTCCCCCATCTTTCCGGTGGACGGACGTGGGTGGGTTTGTCCTCCTATGTGGGAGTTTGTTTGGAAGATGTGCGGCTTGAGCAGGGCTTCAACGTGCTCCACCTGCCCTTCGCCGAAAACGCCCTCTTGGAGCCAGGCTGCGGATTCCCAGAAGGCAGACCGCTTATTGCTGTCGGCGTCGGCTCCAAGGTGTAGCCGCACGAACTGCTCATGTCTGGTGCACCGGGGCTGCCCTCTCAGACAGCGACTGCAGCGTGACAGGCAGGGTGTGTAGCTGAGAATCGCATGAAGGACATTGCGCTCTGCCCAACCGGTCGCTGCGTGCTTCCACCTACACCCCAAGGGCCGGGAACTCGTTGCTGTGTTAGGGCTCAGTATTCCGCAAAATCGCTTGCTGGCCTAAGGCCTAATGAAGTTTCCCGTCCTCAGTATTTTCCTTGTCCTGGGCGCTTTTGAATCCAACGGGGTTTCCTGAAGATGCAACACCGCGTGCAGCCAGTTAGAAGCCACATGCATCTGTAATCCCAGCTTCCGGACGTTCAACCTTCCCTGGGATTTTGCAAGTGCAGTGCCCGAAAGATTTTTTCCGGTCCACTTCGTCAAGACTGCGAGCAACTTCAGCTTGCCACTTGTTGCGTTGTCCCTTCATGTTTTCTCCGCTAGGTGAAATCGGGCATGTTGTTGAATGGTCAGAAAGCAGAAGGGAGAATGAGCAAGCCTGGGTTGGCCCGTCGTTCGATGTCGTCAAGCGTCACGTTTCTTCTGTCAGGAATCTGGTGAGTTGCAACAGGATTGTTATGCATCTTGCCATTTTTTGCGTTTCCGTTGATGTTTCATGGCACAGGCGCTTGATTCCGTTGGATCCTGGTCCCGATCGCTGGACCAGTGTGCCTGCCACAATCTACGAGCCTTTGGACCTGAAGGCGCCAGCAAGTCCTAGGTCTTAGGGCCGCTTTTGAGCGCATGCGAGCGCCTTCGTGAGGTTCATGGAAATCCGCTCAATGCCAATGCAGCCATCTCGGATGGGATACCGGATGCCCGCGAAATGGCCTCTGCGTGGGTCCTCAGGGTGGCTACCTGAAGATCGTGTGGCCACAGGATGGATGTCCGGAGGTCCGCCGGCCAATGGGGGCGGCGTTGATCGCAAAATGATTCAAAGCCAGGTTGGCCAGCCTTGGGCGGATCCCATCGTCTCTCCGTTCGACATGGGGCCGGAGCCACGGAAGTGTCCTTACCGGTCAGATAATTAAAGCTCCTTGCAGCATTTAGCAGGCGCCCGGTCATTGCGGCGGTGGGAAGGTATGTGCAGTGGAGACGTGAATCACTTCCGTTTGCAGGGACGCCCGAACCTCAGCACATTTTGCAGAACCGCCTGGACCTTCTGCTCCCAAGTAGTGTTGTAACACTGTGCGGTTCTTGATGGCGCGGCACGCATTTTCCGACTTTGTTGAATCGGTCTCTAGTCTAGTGTTCGCCGTTATATCCCGTGCTAATTCTAGCCGTCAACTCGCTCAAAAGTTGCCAAAGCTACTCGGCTCCTGAGGCCTCGTTCAGTGGGTGTGGTCTCGTAGCAAAGCTCGCAGTCGTGCTCCCGCCGCAGTGCCTTACACGTTGTGGGATTCAAATTTCGCCTGGCTTTCCAGCAGCGCCGTGCCCTTCCGCCTCCACTCCTGCCGCGCCTAAGTTGGGGTGGGTTTGGTGTTCCCATGTAGTGCGGTGCGTGCCTCACGTTTTGAACTCATGCGTGGTCGTGGCGCATGGGTTCCTCGACGGCAGCAATCTTTCTGTTATTTTCTGGTCAAAGAGGCTTAGCAAAAACGGTGTGCCCGGAAGCATGCTGCCCTGTGCAACTTCAGCTGAGGTTCTGGCTTTGCTGGTGAGCGCTGCATGCTTGAGAGGGATCTTACGGCAATGCCCGAGAAGCTGAAGCTGAACGCCTTGCAGGTGCGACCGCTCGTACGGAGCTGACTGTGCCCTCTGGCAGCACGTCGGTGAGTTGGTCGTTGCCGGCCCGACAAACGTCATGACCTCGGCAGAATGCAGCCCCTGCCACCTAAATCGCACTGCAGAGCCCAGGTGACGAGGGTTCCAGAATTCGTGGAGCTGCTGGAGGTTTCCTGCCTCATTGCAACCGTGGTAAAAGACTTGGTTGGACGGAGCCAGGCCTTCAACGTCACTCTCTCCGGGGTGAACCTTTCCGACCAGGCACTGCGCACTGCATGGCACATGGCCCATATGCCCATGGCTCTCCAGCCGCTGCTGTCGGCAGGAGAGGCTCTCAGTGCAGCCGGGCCAGAGCTGCAGCGAGGACGTAGAGCTCTTCAGCCCGGAAAGGGCGGCTTCCCCGCTCATCGAAGGTTGAGAGGCAAAGCGAGGCAAGTGGACTATCAGCTTTGGAGCTCAGGTCTATGCAAACACCTCCAAGGCAGACTTTGAAGTACAAGCGCCTCGATACCCGGGGCCATTCTCCATATGCTGGACACAAGGTGGCCTCTTGGTCGTGCCACCGCCTACACAGTTGAAGAGGGTTCCTATCACGACCACCAGGCAACATCTCCACTGCGTCGATGAAGCTAGCCAACGGCTTCGCTAGAGAGCACGAAGCTCGGAGAGTCCAAGCCTTTACAGTTCTGCTGGAAGTGTAGACTGCAGAGCACAAAGGTCGAGGGACTGCTTGCTTGGAGGCAGGAATGGATCATATGCTTCTTTTCACGTTCGACAATTTGCAAACGGAGTTGTAGGTTGGGAGCCCGCGCCTGCTGACGAGCTCTTCCGATTCCCAACAGGCACGAAACAAGCGTTTGTGGTGCAGTTTCCGAAGTCGATGGCCCGCGAGAAGCTACGGGAAGGATTCCGGGGGGGAGTGAGAGACTGAGAGAAGTCAGAAGATCATGCGACGAATTGCCCTTTGGAGGCGACTTCGGGCAGTTCGCATGCAGTCGGGCCTGTGGTGGCGGCCTCTTCGAGCTTCGCCGTCGCATCCTGGCGGAGGCCGGAGGAATGCAGAACACACGAGCTGTGATTCTTTGGCTCACATGAGACCTGAGCTGTGTGCCGCTTTTCTTGCCGGAAGTGTGCAAACTGAGCCGTTCGACTCTTCTTCGCAATGGCCGAAAAACAGACGGCTTTGCTGCTCCGAGCTTTTGAGACTGTTGCAGATTGTGTCCGAGTCGTGGTTGTCCCTTCATCCTGACACTCTCAGACAGAGGTTTGCCACCGCTAGGCCGTATGCGGCGGATAAACGCTCCCCAAACCAAGGGACAATCTGCCGACTTTGGTCATTCCAGTCGAGCAGAGGAACCACATAATTTAGACGTCGGACCTGCCTCCGAGAGTATAGGAAATATCCAAAAATCCAAGCTCCGGCAGGCTATCGGTGGTGGTTCCGAGTGTCCACCGCTGGGAGCTCGGACGGCTCAGGGATGGAAGGTGTTGGACTGTTGGACGTGTCTATCATCAGATGCTACTACGACGACTGCTACGAGAGGTCTGACAGCCCGCTTCGCAGCCGCCTCGCATCGTGCAACGAGGAGCCCTGCCCCACCGTGTGGACCTAAAAGCTCAGATGCTCGACAGCCCACAAAGCCCGAAAGCATACCTCGAATCCCACAGCGAGCTTTCAGGGCGAAGTCTTCAGCGCACGTACCCACCCCGAGTGGGTGAAACCCGGTGATGTGTTCCAGGCCTCTTGTGTTGCAGTGGCCCCTATGGCCCATGCATGTCGTGAACATGTTTCCATGGTCTCCTGTCGCTGTCGCTTGCTTTTGGCAGATCCTCGTGGAGGGGGCTTACCTCGACCCACTGGAGGTGCATGAAGCAAGTCATGCTTTCAAGCTCTATTCATGCTATAGTCTTCTGGGCCTCAGAACCGACTCCATGCCTCGGTACGTCCACAGACACTCCGCATTGCCTGTAGTTCTTCATGGTAGCGTGGTAGGAGCGACCGTAGGGATGTAAAGACCTCTGAGGTTCAGCTCTCTTGACCGCTTCTCTGCAGGACAGGGTGGTCCTGCTCACTGGAGGGGAAGATGCCGAGTGTGGCCAGGCCTGAACCACTGGATGCTTCGAAGAGCCAAAGACATTGGGGAGCTTTGAGACTTCTTCAGGTCCACTCCAACGAGGGCCCCGCAGATGGAGGTTGGCTCTGCAGATCCCTTATGAGCAGACGACTGGATCACTGGAAGCTTGAAAGGTGCGGCAAATGCCTCCGAGCCGGAAGCTGAAAAGCTTCAGAAAGAAACTGCTGCGATTCATCGATTGCCCGTGTGTGCACTTGCTCCGTGCAGCTTTGAAGTGGCTCGATCTGTCCGAGGAATGGCACCGCTGATACAGTGGCGATGGAGCAGATTCGAGTGTTGCGTGGTGGAGGTCCTTCATGTCTGTGCACGGCGTCCTGATGCCGTGCAGCTCACAGCCACATCTGCTACTTTTCATGAGCCTGGAAAGGTGCATCGTGCAGGCAGCCGAGCAGCAACAGCACTCACTTAGAGCACCCCAGCTCAAGTTGGTATTGCAGAGTGTTTGGCAGTGCTGGGTGGTTTCGACTGCTGTCCAAGATGTGGCGACGGCCTCGCCAGCCTGACGATTCCGATAGCTGGCACCTACCGCATCCTGGCATTGGAACCCACCGAATCCACATTCATCTCTTGATCTTTCTTAACGAGTTGCCTTCCCACCGAGGCATCTGCATCTGCGATGCGTCCGAAGTGGATCCCGGCTTCAGCAATGTCTCAGGTGCCAGGGACACGGCAGTCATCACGTCACTTCATTGCACATCCTGTGCAGGTTTACGAAGGTTGTGATGGGAATTTATGTCCGGTGCAGGTTCGCTGGTCGCAACCCGGGAGCGCTGCAGCCAGCTGGAGGACTTCTGGCTCACCCCAGGCGGGGCCCGCGGCGGGGATTCTTCAAATACATCTCTTCCGTGGCCCCAAAGCGTGGAGGCAACGGCTCCCTGCTGGAGATCACCGAGTCCCAGTCGGTGGCAGAGGAGAGCGTGAAGCGCGAAACTGAGAAGCGGGGGGCAGCCGGGCCTGGTGACCCGAGGAGCCGAAAAGTGGCCTGGATGCCGCGTTGGCAGATCTTATGGATGATCACAGGAGTGGCAGGCAGCTTGTTTGCGTTTTCAGCCTTCAACAAGCAATGAACGTTTTTTTGGCTGTCCTGTCGCCCTTGCAGGGCTGACCTGGTCTTCATCTTGGGTCTTATTGCCGCATCTATTCTGTCGGGGCCTCTCTCGACCTGCCGGGACATGAAGTGAACCCGGGACGGTGTACCATGGTCCGTCACTTACCTATTGGAATGGCTGAGGTACTGTCTCGCGATCTTCTGCGCCTGCTGGTTCTGGCGCTACAGGTTGGATCTCTTGCCTGCATGCAGAGACTTGGCGTGTTACTCCGTGCCCAGGTGGCGCAAGCGAGCTGCATGGAGAAGGATCGGTGGGATGGGCGGGCTGATGTCAAGTGTGCTCGCAGTGGGCTTCAGGCTCGCTCCAAATCTCTTCGCCAACTCATTGGCCCCTTAGCGCCAATGTGTCTTCCTGTTCTGGGCTATTCGACATCCTGAAAATTTGCAATCCTGGCCGAGGTGGCCAAAGCGACCAGAGCAGCATGGGAGGCCACCCCTCCAGCGATTGGGCTGCAAGAGTTTCGGTGTAGGCGCCTCGTTGACGAGGCCTACACACGAACTATCACGGAACAGGCTCAAATTTCGTGACGCAGCTGCACCAGTCGAGTCGAAAGAGAAGCTTCCATGAAGCTAAAGATCAGGTCGGGCTTGGAGGAAGAACCCGACCAGAAAGATGGCCAGGGACTGGGGACCACCCCTCGCCAGATCGATGATGTCATGCAGGAGCTGGGTTGTTAGAGCCGAAGGCATGTTTCTATTTTCTGCTATCAGTCCCAGTTCTGTCGGAGTGCAGAAACGTGGGTTGGGAAATGTCAGGAGGCGTGTGAAGATCCGTTGTAACTTGCGTTCGTGTCGATGGCGAACAGACGCAAACCGCAACGATATGTCACGTCACTACGCTCCGGGGACTCTTTGGGGCATATTCGCATGAGTGCACCGGTATGTTTCGAGCCAGTTGCCTGGTTCATGCAGTTTGCCACGCAGCTGCACGGGCAACATCACAGCACCTTGCGGCCCGGCAACATGAAGCGAGAAGCCCACAGGCTTCGTCGGGAACGAGGGGGCTGCCACCCTGAAAGGGGCTGCGATTCGGGTCATGTAGCAATGTATGCACGTCCAAGACAGCCTGAAACATGACACGTGGTGAATGCAGACGAAGGCAGAAGTTGTATGCACCACATGCTTAGACTTGTTTGAATTGCAACCTTCGTGAGGGCACGCTGACGCCGCCGGGAACGGGCTACTCATTGAAGAGTGCATCCTCGATTTACAGCGGCTCCACCAGCAGCACACGCTCCACCACACCAGGTGCTGGAAATGCCTGTCCCAGCTTGAGACCTGGAGCATTGGACATGGTCAGGAAATCACCCCTCGTTGCTCAAGGCCGTCCTCTCGGAGCGGCCAGTGAAGGCCCTGGCAGCGTGCATATGTGCCTCACGCATGCCGAGGTGTCGCTGAACAGGGACCGCCCTGCTCGTTGTGACCAAGACATCTGTCTCACACAGATTGTCGTCATCGCGAACAGAAACGGAGTCGGAGTGTCGTGCATCCAGTGCGTGCCAGGATCCGGGCTGCCCATTCTCACCGAAGCAGGCAGCTTGTGTTGCGGAGCACATGTCCAGCCGCCGTGCCGCCTGAACGCCACAGGCAGGTGGCTCCTTCTTGGATCTTCCTCTCGCAGGACGAGGACTCGGCAGGGTGACCTGACGGGGTGGGTTTCATCAAGCTCGTCCTTGGGCTGCCCTGGCACATCCTGGCATCGGCCAGGCAGCCGACCCGGCACCAGTCCGACCCGTCCAAACTCTGGCGCTACGACGCTTCGAGTTGTTGAAGAGTCGACCAGTCATGGCCCAAATGGTGCTCAGCGTGTAGCAGAGGGCTGCAGACTCGGAGTTTGGGGCGTGCTGGTTCATTGATGGGGTCCTTGAAGCGTTTGGTCCAGGCCCCGGCCCCACAGCGGTGGAGCAGGCAGGGCGAACACTTCTGCTTGTTGGACATGAGCGCGCCTGCACCCCGCAGGCGTCGCCTCGCAGCCCTTCGGGTCGGCTCGATGTCGGAGTAGAAGGAGGATTGCAGTTCGACGCACCGGAGAGAGCTTGAGAGAGAGCTCTCTCCCAGTTTTGCCGATGGGATTGCTGCGGAGATCGTAAAGGGCCACACTGGGGGGTAGAAGCGCTCGGATCGCAACTTGCACGGAGGAGAGAGGACGCCCCCGGATGCTGAGGACCGCTAGGGTTTGTGCCAACCTGGGATTTCGACCCAGCCACGCCCCTTGCGGAACCTTCATGATGTTCCTCCGCAAGACGGTTTGTTCCTTGGAAATAACATGCTTTCTCTTGCTTGCGGGATCCTCTACCCGGAATCTCCGAACTTTCAGCCAGAATCTCAGATGTGCAGGAGACCTCCCCTCCGAGTGCCCCTTCAAGGCAGGCAAGTGTGGAACGATGGCTATGAACACTCTAATCCTTGTTGCCTTTGGTTCACATGTTGCTTCCCATGATCATCATTGAAGAGGGCCGTAAAGCCCCCAAATCGCTCCGCCCCTCCGCTTTGAAGGACCCTGGAGCTGCAGTTGCCGGGATTGGAGAAGAAACTGGCGAAGCTGAAGCGCCTCAAGGAGGACCCGGGCACTGCTCATGCTACGAGTCGCCAGCTCATGCGGTCCAGAAAGGCAGCAGTGCAACCCACCAGATTGCAAGGAGTATTCGGAAAGCTCATCTTCTTCAGATGCCAGCCCTGTCCGCGAGGCCTCTCCCCATTCCTTGGACGGGATTGCTTGACTTTCTCCGGTAGACCAGCTACATCATCAGAACTTCCAGCTTCGTACATGTTTCGCTGCGGCCATCGTCGTTGTGGTCGTCACCATGGTAGGCTGCCCCTGCCGTGAATGTAGTGACAGCGCTGTTCACACAGGGTCATCCAACAGGGATCATGGAAAGCAGCTTACTGCTCCGGTGTGCAGGCTCCAAAGGGACTGGTCCCGGTTCCGCCCAGCATGGCACCACCTACACTGCCAGGTTCGAGCTTCGTAGCTTGGTTTCGGATCATGTATGCGATCTGTTGTCAACGAACGCTTACGCACGGTTTCACTACTATCTACAGCACTTGGAGTTCCTTGTCCGGTGTCCCGTGCATCCCACAGACCTGTCACCCTGCAAACCCAAAAGATGTTGGGAGGAGCGCGAGGTGGATGTAGCTCAAATACATCAGCATGTCTTGTAGAACGCACCTAGCGGACCTAGCGGTCGCGCTTGCCAGGCCAGCTTGCATCTGCTCCGCAGCCTGCAGAGGAACCAGCGGCTGTGCCAGAGGCACTCCCGACGTCTGCTTTGGATGATTCAAGTGATGCTCCCATCAGAAGGGGCCGTTCATGACGGACTCGGACGATTCTTGTCAGGCGGCTCCGAGCGAATCTCCCAGACCATCGGAGGCGGCAACCTTTGTCGGAGTGTTGGATGGTCTCCGGGCACGTTCACCTACGCTTGTGCAGGTCCCCGCGGCCCCAGTGAAACAAGTTCCGTCGTCCTCCGCTCATACGAGAGTCTGAGTGGTGCAGTGGAGCCAGTCCAAGGAGAGCATTCACAGCCAAGGTTGTCGATGCTGAAGCAGCTTCCCCCTCCACCGCCTCTGAAGTCAACAAAAAAGTTGCAGGCTCCAGTTTTCCGCATGTCTGGGTTTGCTTTCCGACTTCAACAGGGTGATTACAAGGTTTTCTTGCGAGTTGCTTCAATGCTTGCGTGCTTGACTATCTTCGGCTTCTGGTTGATACAGGGTCGACTTTCCTGCGAAAGGGCCGTTCTCGACCAGTCTTGACCAACCGACCCGATGCCTCTTTGGGGCGTAGATTCTTTGGGGGCGCCGTTTTCTGGGGCACCAGACAGCTATGAATGAACAAAGACTCTGAATCTGCCCCTTTCGGGAGGGTTGGAGTGTGGAAGGTTTGGACGGGGGACGCGGAAGAGCCCTGATGCACTCTGCCCCCTCGCTTTCATGCAGACTAAGAATCCACAATGTGAGGAAAGCTCACCTGCAGCGGATGTCAGCCCTGCGTACGAGGCAAGCTGCGCGTCGTCGTCGCAGGTGTCTGTTATGTAAGGGAGTTTTCCCAGGCCGTTGCCAGGATAACGGCTGAAGCTTCAATCTGAGGGCGCCGAGAATAGCAAGCGAGGGTGGTGCTGTCGGCCTGAAGTGTCGTAGTGGTCGCAGGGTTCTTGTTTAGTTAGGGCTCAAGTTCAAAGCAGTCTTGAGGGTTTTTTCCACTCCAATTATCCGCAGAGTCTGAGGAGCGAAACGAACGGAGCACGATTCTGTGGAAGGGAGCAAGCCAGGAATTTGGTCTCGCAGGCGGCAGACTTCCCGCAGGAAGGAACTGGGGAGCAGGCAGCCCAAGCATGTTCACTTCATAGGAAGTAAGAAAGACATATCCCAAAGCGAAAGCAACAGGCGCCACTCCAACAGTTCAGGAAGCAATAAGAAAGGAAGCATCCGAAAAGTGAACATCTTTCCAAAAAGGCGCGAATGCATCAATTGTAGTGGTTAGAGACACAATGACAACAAACAGCAACAGTGCAACAGTGGAATGCCATTGAAGGACGAAAACCCAGGGAAGATCAGATTTTTCACAAGAACACTCAACGCACAAAAACACCTAAACATCCACATTGCAAATGCAAAAGCTCCAACAACTCCCACCGTTTCGTTGCAGGGGAATCACAGGAGGAAAGCCCAAATCTGCAAGGGAGGTACTGTACCTTGGCGCACGCTGTAAAGAGCTGAAGCGTACAAGTTTCACCTGCGCTGCGGCGAGCTCAAACAGGATTGAATGAAGGACAAGACGCCGCAGACATTCGCGACTCCATGTAACGGACTGAAGTGGCAGGTATCTTTCGAAGGTTCATCTTTTCGGAGATTCCCTGAACTTCACGAGCCACACCCGGATCCGATGGCAGTGCATGGAGGCTTCCGCAAAGGCTCCGGCTCCCACTCCACCAAGCAAGGTGCCGTGCAGCCCACCAGGCTGGCAGCTGGCATATGGTTGCAGACATTAGCACTGTGCGCTTGGACACCCGGAAGGCCAGCTCCAATCTGTCGCGGAGCCTCAGGAGGAGCCGGCGGTCCCGGAGGCGCACAGCATTGCATCACATTACATCTCTCACCATGGAGCGATTTCGGGTTTCGCATCATTCAAGGCACCGAAGATTCAGACGCCGCCAAGTGCTCCAAGCCAATCGCCCAGACCAGCGGCAGTTGCAAGCTGTTGGCTGTAGAACCGAAGCTAGGCCCGACGGCCGTGAAGCAGGCAGGGCACGTATCGGGAGCAACCGTAAGGGTTTCGGCATATCGGTCAGGTGTCTTTCTCTCCCTGGGGTAGGGACTTTCCTCGGAGACTTGATGGCTTTGCTGGGGACAAGGTCACCTTAACAGTGCCAGGTCTAGTCGATGTGGAACACGAGATGCCACGCACCTCCTCCAAGCAGATGTCGTGTCAGGTCCCACGTCTCCCTCTGCGTCCTCGCAGCCCATCTGGTCCGGCGCCATGTCAATGTGTTCCCACACAGCTTTCCAAAGACCCAGCTTGTTGCAGATAGGCTTGCAGATAGGCTTGCAGATGAGGCTTGCAGATGCTGTAGGCATGCGTTGCTTGGCATTGGATTTGCTGATGCGATTGTCTACACATGAACCTGGGTTAACTCGTTTGAAAGATCGTGTCGAGACTGCTTGAGTAAGTCGCGAAAAAATGCGAAAAAGCAGGCTAGGATTGGCGTGGAGTTTGGTGTCACTGGCTGTTGACATGCTTGCTTCTGGGCATTTCGGGTTTCCGTCGACATGTCTCCTCGGGTTCTTGAGGAGAGAAGACACCAGATGCAGTGGAGGAGAGCTGCAAGTGTGGTGAGTGTGGTATTGGGCGGGGGGCGTTCCTTCGCTTTTCTGTGCCAGACTTTGCAAAGCCGAGCCTGCGGAGTCTGGCATCAAGCACACTCAGATGCGCAGGAAACCGTCCCTCCTTCTGCCCCTCCGAGGCAGAGGCAGACAGTGTGTTGAGAAGGGAAACAGCGTGAGAATGATATTGGTGACCGCACCCAGCAAGAAAGCGCACAGGACTCTGGGGACATGGGTAAGCCGGGTAAGCCATAAACCAGGATGCGTCTTGTGAGAAGGTTGAATACAGACCCTCCGGCCCTGCCATGAGCGGGGAGTCTCAGACACAACAATGGAGCAGATCGTGGCGTTTCCCCCTTCTCACACGCCCCGGCTGGACGGAAGCTTTGCAACTGTCGTCAGCGCAGGACGCCGGAGGTGACACCCATCTCGGAAGAGGCGAAGCAGAAAGACACAGAGGCCCGGCTCTGTGCTTTCGCTGTCAGGCTGTAAGTTCTGTAGCTCCCAGCTCTGGGTTCCCAGAGAAGGAAACGATAAGTGGACTCGGAGCTTCAGCTTTAGGACACTGTAGTGAGGTCTGCTTAGGGCATCTTGCTGCAGGGCTGAGTGGCACAGCTGAGGAAACCTCGCCTGCGGATGCCGGCCCTGCAGAGGCGAGCCATGGAGCGTGAATGTGAGCGAAATGTCCGTGTGCTTCTTTGAATCACCACCTCTGTCACAGAGGCCGAGGCCCCGTTCTGGAGACCCTCCTTCCTGCTCAAGCCGAAGCCCAAGGAGCCGAAGCCGCCCAAGGCCGGCCCCGGACTCGGGTAAAACGCATAGGGCATCGGCATAGGCAGAGCGAATTCCTTTCTCTTCTTACCTTGTCACCCTTGCCACCTGGGCACCTCTCCGTCGAGCCTTTCCCTCTTCGTTGAACCGCCTCGCACGGCATGCGGTGAGCCTGAAGGCTTCGGACCACACGAGACAGGGACGTTACCTGTCAATGATGCTAGTGAGACAACCTCAAACTGTGGACGTTTGTTGGATCTGTCCACTTAAGCCGGTTCACCACTTGGAGCCTAGTTGTGGCGCACATAGCCCAGTATTGAAGCAAAAGAGCAAGCCAACACTCAGTCCTTGCACCCACTTTTGCAAGCGCCGAAGATGTGGCGAGTGCGGCAGCGTCTCACTGACACACTGACAGCGGGACTTCTCTGGCGGCCTTATAGGCCTTGAGGTCGCTACACCTCTCTGTTGAGTCGATTTTTTGGGGAGAGTATGCCTGCTTGCTCTGTGGACCACTCAAACTTGAACCCTCATCCAGTCCCTACGGCTCGCAGCAATGCGTGCTTGCAAAAGGGTAGCACATGTCAGCCAGTGGGGGACTCAGCAGGTCCCATCGCACGTGCTCCTGGATTTCTTGCCACAATTGGAGGCTCCCGACCAGGGGTGCGTGTGCGCACGCATGCACGCACAGCACGCGCGCACACACACACACCTTTGCAACTCTTCACGCCGCCACGAAGTTAAAAGATGATGACTATGTGTGTAAGGTCGCATCCACCTTACCTCATAAGCGGGCAAAGCCCCCACGAGGGCGCCTGAAGAAGCGAGCACCGTGCAGGGGTACTCGTGATTTGTTGCTTCGTGGCAGGGGAATCACAGGATGAAGGCCCAAATCCGCAAAGCAGAGAGGTACTGTACCTTGGTGAGCACCAGGGACAGCCCAGACCCAGCACGCTGTAAAGAGCTGAAGCGTACAAGTTTCACCTGCGCTGCGGCGAGCTCAAACAGGATTGAATGAAGGACAAGACGCCGCAGACATTCGCGACTCCATGTAACGGACTGAAGTGGCAGGTATCTTTCGAAGGTTCATCTTTTCGGAGATTCCCTGAACTTCACGAGCCACACCCGGATCCGATGGCAGTGCATGGAGGCTTCCGCAAAGGCTCCGGCTCCCACTCCACCAAGCAAGGTGCCGTGCAGCCCACCAGGCTGGCAGCTGGCATATGGTTGCAGACATTAGCACTGTGTGTCCAACCGGAAGGCCAGCTCCAATCTGTCGCGGAGCCTCAGGAGGAGCCGGCGGTCCCGGAGGCGCACAGCATTGCATCACATTACATCTCTCACCATGGAGCGATTTCGGGTTTCGCATCATTCAAGGCACCGAAGATTCAGACGCCGCCAAGTGCTCCAAGCCAATCGCCCAGACCAGCGGCAGTTGCAAGCTGTTGGCTGTAGAACCGAAGCTAGGCCCGACGGCCGTGAAGCAGGCAGGGCACGTATCGGGAGCAACCGTAAGGGTTTCGGCATATCGGTCAGGTGTCTTTCTCTCCCTGGGGTAGGGACTTTCCTCGGAGACTTGATGGCTTTGCTGGGGACAAGGTCACCTTAACAGTGCCAGGTCTAGTCGATGTGGAACACGAGATGCCACGCACCTCCTCCAAGCAGATGTCGTGTCAGGTCCCACGTCTCCCTCTGCGTCCTCGCAGCCCATCTGGTCCGGCGCCATGTCAATGTGTTCCCATACAGCTTTCCAAAGACCCAGCTTGTTGCAGATAGGCTTGCAGATAGGCTTGCAGATGAGGCTTGCAGATGCTGTAGGCATGCGTTGCTTGGCGTCAGAATTTTCGACTGAATCCGCGATCCATGAGCAGCATCCTCTCACGAACACATCAGTGAAGATTTGCTTGAAGATCCTGTGGGGACTGCGTGCTTGACGCTGCGGAGACAAGCAGAACCATGCTGGGAAAGCCGGGGGTGGGGGTCGAAGTTCGGCTTGAGGAGCGAAGACGCCAGATGCAGTGGAGGACTGCTCAAATGCGGCAAGCAAGGGTTTTGCATGAAAACCTGTGCCTGCTTTCTTGCTGCATGCCGGACCAGTGGAACGGTCCATGGGTATCACCTCCGATGTGCAGGAGACCTCTCCTCCGAGTGCTCCTTCAAGGCAGAGGCAGGCAATTGGTGAACGCCCAGAAGTTCAGGGGGTGAGAGGCGTGAGAATGATACTGTTGGCTGCTTTGCCAAGCAAGACTCACCGGCTTTTGTGTCAATGTGCGACGGCTGCAGCAAAGAAGGCCTTCGCTTCGAACGTTGGCATGACGACTTTGCACGCGCCCCAACCGTCTCTGTCGGTGCAGGATGCCAGAGCCGTCCACCGTGGAGGAGGCGAAGCCGAAGGAGACGGAGGCCGTGACCTTCCGAGCTTCTTGCGGTTTAGCGTTTCTTGGCTGGTCTTCTCTAAACACTCTTGACGCTTGAATAAGGGGTGCGTCAAGCACCTTTGCCCAGGATTCTTCTGTGGATCTCGGGGGAGGGGTGGGTGGGGGTGGAGTGGTGGTGGTGATGACGACGTCCGGACATGAGATTCGAATGGCGATGACGATGTGATGATGCTTGCAGATATATTGTGATGATGATGATGCTGTTGATGATGACGATGATGATGCTGCTGAGGATGATGACGACGAAAAACCTCCAAAAGTGGAGAGGAGCAGAGGAGCTGCTTTTCATTAATTTGCAAATCTTGCAAGGCTTACTGAATGTTGCAGCTCTTGGTTTGTTTGCCAGTCTTGAATCAAACCTCGCCTGGACACACGCTTCTTGGCTCGGCTTGGCACAGCGACTAAGACGCACCCGCAACCAAGATTTCAGTCTCTCGTAATTTCTCGGAGCATTCCCATTTCGAGGCTAAGAACACCAGCAACAGTTTCTCGTTTCGTCTACACAACACTGATTCTTGCCGAATGCTCCAGATCTTTCACCAAGTCGTCTGCCCCACTTCGGGATAAACGTGCGCGTCCATTTATTGAATTTGTTGGAGTGCCCCCATTCTACGGGAGAGTGCCTCGGAAGATGCAAGGGAAGCTTGGACATACTGGCCTGAAATGATGTGGAGGTTGTGCCGCATGTCGCCAGTGGGATGGCCATGCCTGGGTAATTAGCGAGCTTCACTTCACGCCCAGTCCTGCGATGTCCTGCTCGGTGCAGGCTTCCGTGAAGCGCCTGGAGCGGGTTCGCCCAAGCGTGGCGCCGTGCAACCCGCCAGGCGTGGCGGCGTGGCCTGTAAAGATTCGTCGCTGCCCCCCTGCTCGGTTTAATAATAAGGGGGGGGGGGAACGGGAAAGCAGCAGCCGAGAAAATGTGCATCTGCATCCTGCTCGTGTCAAAGGGAAAGGGAACAAATTGGGCATCCCGGCATCGGAGTGGTTTTCATGGACCTCTGTCAGGTCAGCTTGCAGCTCCTTCGAAGGAGCCTGCAGAGGCGCAAGAGGAATCAGAGGCGGTGCCAGAGGCAGGTATGCAAGCAATATGCAGAGACTCTGAGCGACGCAGATGATAAACAATTAACATGCAACAAATTCAGGTACAGTGAAGTGTAGTAGTGGAGTGGCACTCCGTCGGAAAATGTTGTCCCTGTCAGGTTGCTCCAAGCACTTCTGCCAACCAGTTGGAGGTTCCCGGTTGCAAGAGATGGTTTAGACCCGTAGTTTGCAGTCTGCTGCCGCTTCTAGGCAGCTTCATCCCGCCATGTTCCAACAACTTTTTTGCAGGGACACTTTCCCAACGCCATCATGCCTGTGCTCTGAACAGGAATCAGGGTTAACAGGAGACTGAGTTGGGTATCGATCATCTCGACCAGTCAGAGTCAGTGGTGGGTTTGTTGCGATACATAGCATAGCAGGGCTGGATGGAGCTTGCACCCCAAGTGCCACGATTACTGTAACGCGCACGACTTCCCGAGGTCGCAAGACCAAAAGGTAGCAGTGTCAGGAGTCCAGGAGTCAACAACCCGTCCCCCTTGTCCCCCTCCGCCCCTCCTCCGCGATCGTCCGCGAAAAGTGGCGCAGGTCGAAGGCCGCGTCGCGGCGTCTCCAAAGAGCTCCGCAATGCCCGGGCCCGGGTTTTAGTGAAGCGAGGTCCTTGTGTATTGAAACGCAAGGGGCAGACTCTTCAGATGCTCAGAAGAGTCTGCCTTGGACTCTTCTGAGCCCTTGCAAGCGGGGAGTTTGTCTTAGCCGGTGCCAAATCGCCTTAAGAAAGGGATAAAGATGAGCCCGTGTCATCAAACTGGAACGCTGACAGCTCATGGAAGGCAAAATCATCTGCATGCAGACGACAAGGTAGAAGAAGCATTCACCTCATTCGAGACAGCATTCGCTTGACGAGAACCATCTCGCGCAAAAGAAGTCTTGCCACGTATGCGTCTATTACGTCTCCTTATTCTGAACAATGCTAGTGTTGAGACGGTCAGGCGCTGTGCTCTGTGCGGAAACAGGATCATCATGCACATCAGCTACAACCGCCTGACTTGCAGTCACCCTCCGTAAAACATCAGCTGCGGTACATATCGTGATCCTTGTCCACTGCACGAAGAGTCCCGCGAGGAGGAGTGCGGAATAGTGCAGACACGACGTCGCTTTCGTTCTGAGGAGTATGCTTCGTGTTGTTCCAAGGCCATTGCTTGTCACACTGCAGACACTTCACAATACCTGATGTGCTGATCTGGAAGCAGACCCGTCCCACGCGAGCCGTTGTTGCCCAGCATGTGGACCCGTGTTCGGAAAGAGTACAAGCAATCTGTGCGGATTCGAATCATTATTTGGATCTGCAAGCCACTGCCGCTGAGGTAAATTGGTCTGCTTGCACTTAGTATGTGAAACCTTGAGTCTGGGGTGGGTTACACGCAAAAGATTCCACCATTGGGAGCACCCATGATAAAGTGAACGTTTTCATGAATGCCATCCGCGATCGTGCATTGGCCAGAGTCTCGCGAAGCGGGATCTGCGGGAGGAGCCCCATCGTCAGGACGCGAGAAATCACCGGTGAGATGCTGACGAATGTGAGATCGCAGATATCAGACAAATCCGCTGAACAGCTTCAAAATCAGGCAGAAGACCAGAGTCAGCCCCCGTCAGGACTGTCGCGTACTTAAAACGGGGTTGAGCACGACGAATGCGAGCCAACAGATGGACGATCGGCTGCCGCAAAACATGCTGCAGTCAGAGTTCTGCTTGGTTTTGTAATGATGTCCGCATACAACATCCTGGGTCACCAGCCCACCTGACAAAGGCAAACGAAGAACGGCAGCCCGCATACTGTACGAGCGTCCTCGTGCCCAACCCTGACAGTTTCACCAGGATAAGAAATCGATCGAATAATGATCAAGCCGACGGAGATAGGCCAAAGTCTGATCACGAAGCATACCTTGCTGAATCCCCTGGACAGCAGGACGATCTCGAGAAACGCGGGTCCATTGCGCTTGTCTCCAAACCTCGCGCACATGATGAAACCGCAAACCAAGGTCATATCTGTAACAACACCGCGAAACTCAGGCATAGAGTCAACCTGGCGTAGCATCGCAATGGGGCCATCTGTGGCCGTGACTTTCGGCGAGTGGAAAGGCACACGAAAGACATCGGACCGTGAAGGTAACCCACACCCCACACCAAGAAGAGACCGTCGACCACCCTGCAAAAATGCGGGTTGAACGAAGGCGAAACCAAAAGCGAAAGGTACAAGCCAGGGCAAACCTGATAGTGATCACGCCGAAGAAGACACCGAAGGATCGCAGAACCAAGTTTGTTGAGAACACCCTCTTGTTTCTTGTTGGTGGCCAGCTGATGCGTGCCCGTGCCCCAAGTAAACTGAGAGCGGGTGCGTAAAAAAGACACCCGCACCTATCATGAAAGGGTACAGATAAGTGGCGAGCATGCACAACCACATGCATCCATTTTTGCAGTCGCTAACCTCCAGCTCGGTGGGCGAACCGTGTTCGGTGGGTCTGTAGGCCAAGCTTCCGAAACTCATCCAGATGTGCAATAGCAGCGTTAAACAGACCACTTACAGCATGGTGGCCAATGGTGGTCATAGGTGAAAGCAGTTGTACGTATTCATTCTGCTGCCAAAGGACACGACGGACTTGGAAGACTTGCACTCCACAGATTGCCCATCCAGAATGAGAGCATGCTTGTTTGGCCGGATCACCGAGGTGCTAACATCGTCAACATACGAACCGGGACGACAAGGAGGAATTCGCGCATGTAGCATGCGAAGCCAAATATTCACGATACAGATACAGTTCACACTCAGCATACTCAATGGACAACTTTGTAGGATGCCACCATGCAGGCGTTGGGCTCGGTCAAAGCATACTCCCAGTCTGTACCGCCGAGTCGCATGACGTAGCATATGAAGGCACGGGCGAAGAACACAACCTGGCATCTTCATTTTTCGCAAAATATCACCAAGTAGCTCACGAGGCACTCGATCAAAAGCCTTTGACCTTGACAGGTCGAAACTTAACCCAGCTACCAGGTGATGAGGACCAGAGGATTGTAAGGTCTGAATCCACGTCGAGTAGTAACGGCTCAGCGCCGCGGGACGTCCTTCCACCGGATCAAACGATGCCGGCAACACGCTGTGATGCCTGCAAAGTGGCCTCAGGGTTCGCTCTGTCGGAGACCACCACGCTGCAGCTTCACATGCACATGCGAAGTGTTGTGACTGTGTACGAACCGATTCAGATCCCATGTGCCGAAAAGACAACCACTGCAAAGACCCGGTGCAGCTCTCTCAGCACAGAACTGCCGAACTAAGCCAGAAAGATCCTCACTAATGGAAGGAGCTGGCGGAGAACTAGGCACAGCTCTAGAGGTAAGAACGTGCAGCCTGAATCTTGCCCGTGCTGCCCCCCCCTGCCTAAGGCACGCGCGAAATCTTCCAACAGGAAGCTGGCAGGACACCCAGGACAAGCTCCAACAGGTGCCTTTCCGAGTTGGTGCATGGGGAAATGCATGAAAATGAAGCAAAACCCTCGGAGCTGTACATACAATTGCTGCCGATGGCTGAAGTTGAACGCAGTCCGACAAAGCTAAGAAACGGGTCGGCTTCCCTCAAGTTGCCTTTGCACGTTCATGCCATGCGGTGGTTTATTGCCGCACTGCGCTGCCTTTACGACTGCGCGCTGGTGCATACCAAGAAACCCCATGGGACGGCTGTGAATCTTGAACACAGTGCATGTGTCGTAAGACCTGTCCTGTTGCAACTGCAGATGCTGTTTTGCGCGACGAGCATACAGCCTCACTGTGCCATGGCATTCACGTGTCTTACACAGGTTTTCCTCTCTACTCAAAGACCTGACAGGAGTGGTACTCAAAATTGGCTGCGGGCGTGGATGACAACGAAAAGCCCGGCCGGCGCGGGAAGGCCGGCGCCCACAGCGAATGCCTTCGTTGCAAAGCAATCTGTTGTGCAAGCAGTGTTGGGAGGCTTCCCTGAGGGGAGCTGCGTCAGGGCAGCCTGTCTGAAAATCAGCAGCTTCTCTTCTCAGGGGCCAGTCTATTGGCTTTGCTCAGAGGGTTGCCGGAGTCTAGTGTCCATCGGGTTGGGAAGTTGGCCAGTTCGACCAATTACCCCGAGCTGCTAGAGTCTTCCAATTGCTTGAGGTCACGCAGGGTAGGTGCCTCCTTACGGGGGGCAGCCTCCGCTTCTGCAAGCGCTGCTGGCAGCCAGATGGGCAGCCACTTGGCGACATTCAGGTGAGTTCCCGTTTGACACGTGAGAAACTCATCCGCGAGGTCAGGCACCTTCGCGTTCATCGCAGTCTCCGGCCATGTCGCCAAGGCCATGGCGTGCAGCACGAGTTCGATTGTGGCGTCAGTGCTTTTCATGGTGTGCTTGGTGTGAGGAGTTCCGGAACGGAAGGGTCGAGTCCACAAGCTGCGGCGGCGCCTGCGGCGGCTCCCGCCGGCTTCCCGGGCGGCCCGGGCCCAGCCTTGGGGCCCGGCCCGCCCTTGGGCAGGCCACCACGTGGTCCAGGGCCTCCGTTAGGAGCATCGCGCGGGAAGGGCCCCAGTGGGCCCACCCCACAGTCCCAGGTCGCACCCAATTGGGCCTTTTAGGGATGCCATTGAAAAATTCGGGAGGCTGTCTAGCAGCCACATCCTGACCATCGTGTCTCTGCAGCGATCTGCAAAGCAGTCTCTGGTGGATGAGCAATGGCCTAAACTCGTCAGCAAAGATGCAGCTGTGTTCGCCCAGGCCACTGCTCATCCTTTCGTTAACGATTAACGCAATGCAGGATTCATAGCAAACCAGCCACAACTTCAGCTTCTCAGTGCGATGCGGCGGTGCTTTGACTGCCGACAGACCCTTGTGCTTCACGGCCGCCTGGACGTCGCACGGCTCAAGCCGTTTAACTTGGTTGGAATCAAGCTGCACACCATCGTCTCAATGAGTGCACATTTGTGCCCGAGAGGAATGGCTGGCCTCATGATGAGTTTATTATGCGTCGCAGCAAAAAGGTTGAGAGCAGCACACAAGATCTGTCGTACCGTTACAACCTGCCACACCTCTCCGATTTTCATGCCAGGGAGGCGGGCTGAGATCGCAGGCTTTGTCCCATAGCTGTGCAATCGAATTTCCAGGCCGGCCGGAGGCTATGACAATGTGCTGCTCCGAGGGATGTATGACTCGACCATATGGCACGTCAGGGTGGGGTGAGGTGTGGTCAGAGTTCTGCAGCCAGGTCCTTTGAGCCAGCGGACACGGCATCATGTAACCAGATGGTCTCAGAGGCGAGGTGGGAAACTCTGCATTTCGCCATGAGTCAGCATGCTCAGAGAAGCATAGGAGTCAAAGAAGAGAGTTTCTCTGTGTGTGTGTGTGTGTGTGTCCATCCCTGTTCCAAAGGGTCGAGTGTGTCTAATGCAGGGGGTGCCGGGGGCACTGGTGAGACCGGCACTAACAAAGACGCTCGTCAGTTGCCTGTGAAGCAGTGGAGGACGCTCCACTGTGTACCTGCTAATTATTTGTGACATCGTCCATAGTGCAAGCTGTGCAATGGTTCTGCAATGACATCGTCGCTGTACATTGGTGATTCCGAGTGCGATTCTGAGTGCGAGTTCAGGCCAAAGGTTCAAGGTGCATCAAGAAGCTGACTCTTCTGACTTTGAGAGTGTGATTTGAGACCTGCGACACGATGTGTCAAGTGTGCTTCACAACGGCATTCCCTATGGGCGCCGTGTCTCCCAGAGGTAGCTCTGGCGTTGACTTTCCCGATTGACTGTATAAGCATTGGATGACTTTCCCTGATTCTATATCCGTGCTTGCAAGCTGACTTTCCCAATGAGTCTTCACCGAATGCTTCTACCGAAACCTGAATGCTGACTTTCTCATTGACTGTCTATGATCAAATCGACTTTCCCGATTCTGACTTGTTCGCTGACTTGTCGCAGGTCTTTGGCTACAAATCGAGTTTCCGAGCTGTACTTCTGAGTAATTGCTGATCAGTTTGCCATGGATTCTTCAGGAAAGAGACGCAGTACCCGCACATCAGCCCCTCCCCCTCCTCCCCCACCTCCTCCTCCCCCTCCTTCCTCCCCCTTCCCCCATCTCCCTGTGCCTCCCCCCCCCACTTCCGCCCCTGCCCCCGCCCGTGGTACCACAGCGAAGTGGATTCCACCCCCCCCTCCCCTTCCCCCTCCCGCCTTCCCCCCGCCACCCCCCACTCTTGCAGTTTGTCCAGCGCCTGCCTCATCTTCTTCTTTGCCGGTCCCTTCTGCATCAGATGTTGGAGCGAGAGCTACAGAGGTAACTCCTACTTTGATTGCTGCACGTCCTGTAAATGATCGGCAGATTCCGCAGCAAGAGGCTTCCCCTGCAATCACTCTTCATGCAGATGGCACAGGTTTCCGGTTGTCGTTTCGTTCGGTGGCTGATTTCGCTGAATACTCAGCGATTATGGCAGCAAACTTGACACATGTCCGAGGCCACAGAGATGTGTATGCTGGCCTCAACAATTTGCTTGACATTCAGCAGTCTGTTGTTTCTCAACGGAATCAGTCAACAGCATCTGTTCAGAGCCAGCAGTCAGCCATCACGTATCAAACGGATGATTCAGCCCAGCCAACAAAGCGACTTCGGCAAGTTCCTGGAAATGAAGTTTCTCTCGTTGCAGATCCTAACAGCATTCGACTTCGTGCAATTTGTGATCAGATTCCGGGTACTCATGCAGATCGCGTAGGGTGGCAGCTCAGTGCGGACCAGACTTACGTCTTTCGAGTTAGACCGCTGCAAGACTCGTATGAGCATTTTGAGAATCGATCTCTTCTCAAAGGGCATGTGGAAGTTGAGTGGGAGCAAGATTCAAACTTCTTCGTGATTCCTGAACTTCGTGGGTTGGAAGTGCGAGATGAAGAAGCGAAGCTGATACGCGTGTATTCATCTAGCTTCAATTGGGCCGCATTATACCCCATGTTTACTGCTCTACGTCACTTGATCAGTTCCAGCCCTGGCCGCATGAAATCGGCATGTGAGATTTCGGCAAAGATTCCGGCCAATCTTGAGTTGCAGGTTCCCAGCTCTCTGATGCAAAACACGGCGGACTATCTGATCAGCCTGTTAGGTCTTCCTCCCCACGCTGTCAATTCGACAGCATTGAAGTATGTCTCTCAGGCAATTGCAGCAGCTGATCAAGCCGCAAACATTCATTCTGTGGAGCTTCGTTCTTTGTCGAGTTCGTGCAAGTGCTTGAGCATCCACTTCACCCACTTTGAGAGGACCATGATCAGGTCGCATGCTTCTGCAGCAGGGATTCGTCGTTCTCCTGTTGCACACAACACAATAGTGGCAGCGGCTGCATCGATCCTTCTTGAGGGAGCGATTCGACCTTCTTGGTGGGATGCTAGTGACAGCAAGTGGTCCCCACCAATTTCCTTCTATGCTAGGGCTCACACTTCAGATGCAGAACAAGCACAAGAAGCAGCAGCCAAGTACGGTGGCATTCTGAGTGAGCGGCCGGTGTGCATTTTCGGACATGCATTTAATCGTCAAGGATCCCTCACACCTCCCCATTCAAGAATCCCCATGGGAGGGGTCGAAGGTGACCATTCCTGCAGCTACATTCGTGATGTTGCCCGTGCCAAAGATGGCAGATGGGTCTTTCGCTCTTCATGTTTCATCCCGGAAGCGCTTCTTGTTTTTTGGAGGGTCTGAGTGCAACATGCTGCTTTGACCGGCCACGCCTTCAAGTCTCTTCCGTTGTCACCTGCTGTGCACGTTTACATGTGACGAAAATCTGCAAGGGTAGTGCAAGTGTATTGCAAGGGACGTGCAAGTGTACTGCAAGTGAGAAGAGCAAGTGACGTGCAAGGGATGTGCAAGAGTTTATGCATCGGAAGTGCAAGTGACGTGCAAGGGATGTGCAAGAGTTTCTTCATGAGCCGTCTCGAGTTGCAGCTTTTTGATTCGAAGTGACGTTAGTGATTCCGCGTATTCAGATTTGTTGATAGATCTGAAACCATGGCATGGAATGGGCAGTGGGACAACAGCACAGGGTACGGGAGGTCCCAGCAATCGTGGGGTCAGCACCGCTATCAGCCGTATAACTCGGGAAGTTGGACTGATCCCAACCTCTCCAAGTCTGCACCTGCTAGTCAGCCACCTCCACTACCACCGCCTCCTCTTTCTTCGGCACCTTCATCTTCGCCGTCTACTCCCATGCCATGTCATCAAGGTCCTGGTCCTGTTCCTGCACTACCGAATGGATGGGCGTCAGATCGTGATCATTATGATTCAACGGTACTTCATGGGTTGTCCTTTCGTAAGTCCATCGAAGCCACCCCGTGGTCGCGGAAGAAAGGGATCGCAGGAAAAGACCCACTCAGCATTCCTGTTCAGGAATTCCTGTTTCATGGAGTCTCAGATTGGCGTCTTCGAGCATTGAGTCATGGCAAGTTTTTCAGTGTTGTGCCAGTTGCTACGGTTGCCGAAGCAGTGTTCATGTCGCAAGTCACGAAGAACCTTCGAGATCGCAAAGTTGACATCGACGCAGTTGCTACGCATCTCTTTCAGGCCGCTAATCCATCTACAATCATTCCCAACAAGAACACGGATTGTGCAGCTCTGTTTCAGCCGATGGTTGACAAGATCGTTCAGCTCATGTTCGACAACATGCCGGTGTCTGCAGGCGTCGATCAATCTCAGAAGTTTCTTCAAGTTACGGAAGAGCTCAATCGCCGCCGTGAACAGTTACAAGCCGCAGGACTTCCCGTTACCCCCACGAAACCCGCTTTGCAAACACAGCTCCCGGTTGCCTCGCAATCTAGTGCTCCGTGTCCACAATCCGTGACACCACCGCAGACTTGGGAGAGTGACCTCAAGCGTAAGATCGACAGTGTTCCTGCAGAAGCCCTGAATGATCACAAAGCCCGATTAAAGGGATCAGGAGAGGGGGACGTCGACAAGTGGATCCAGAGCTTCAAACGACCCCTAGGAAAGCGCTTTGTCGATTTTCAAGAACACATTGCGTCTGTCTCCAAGCTTGTGCAGATCAACTACGGAGGCAAGGAGAAAGCAAAACTGCAAGAACTTGCAGTAAAATTCGGGATCTCGGCGACTTTTGCATCTAGGATGGGTATCAAGAGTCTCTCTACGTGCATCGCAGCAGCAGCCTTTCAGGTTGTCTGAATTGCACACAGCCTTGCTTCCAATCAACTCTCCGCAAAGGAGATTCGGTCAGCACATGTTCTTATTACAGAGGTCGGCAAGTTCATGTCGTTTGTGCTTCAGTTCATTCCGCATGTGGACAAAGTGATGGCCATTTGGTTGCAAGGTTTTTGTCATCTGATTCTACTGTTCCATTACTCCAGGGGTACTTCGCCAGAACAACGGCTGCTTGAAAAATTGCGCAAAGCTGGAGTCACGCTGTCTGATTACACGTTCACACGGTTCCAGAGTCCTTGTGCAGTTTATTTGAAAGCCCCCGTGTCCTGGAGTACGCGTTCTTCGTTCAAGCAAAGAGACAGATGGATGTATGTTGGAAGTACTTCAATTACTATTTCCAAGCGTGAATTCAACCGGCAATCCAAACTCAAGCAAGTTCTTCGTGAGCAATATGTTC